TTTCAAATTACTTTTGTAATTTAGATCTTTGAACACACAATATCTGTAGATATTGGCACAGATCTTAGAAACCTTTGCTAATATTTATAATTCATTCTCTTTACTTAAGTTTAATCATTCCTCTTCCAACATTATATGCTTATAGTGATTCTCAGTGAAATCCACTATTCAGAATCACTGTAACAATACTAAGAAGTACGAAAACCAAATCTATAATTGATATTGAGAGAATTTTGAATTAAAACACGAATTAACAGATGAAGAACAAGAGGAATCAGATAAAAATAAAACTTACCAGGCAAATATCATCTTTATCGAATTGGAAAAGTCTCCAGAACTCCAAGAAGAAGAAATGGAAAACATTCTACAAGATTCATCTGATGACAAAGAATCGGGAAGCATAATAGTATCTGATTATAATATGAAAGGACCCTTTCAATTATTTATTAGTTCTCCAAGTATTACTGAAAGTCAAGCTGCTGAACTATCTATCAAAGAACAAGATTATCAGAAAAGAAAAAAGAAAATTGAAAAAGAACTGAATAAGGAATTCAAGAAATGAAGTATATTAGTTGTATAATTGATAACTATTCTTGAACTCTTATTGAGTCCAAAATAATCCAGAAAAATTAAGATGTCTAATACAGTTAAACAGACTCAAAATACAGAAGATTATAAATAAAAAGACAAAGCTACAAGCTCCAAAATGAAGACAAATACTAAAGAACTCACTAAAAATACCAAGAGAAAAGAATCAATTAAACTAATATTTGAAAAAATATACATCAAAAATGATGAAGAGCCTAAAGATTCAGATTCAGAAAGCAATGACTCTGATAGGGATGATTATAAAATATTAAAGAAAATTAGAAGATTGGAAAAGAAAAATGAAGAAGGAAATGAAAATTTTACCAGACTAAGAAAATATAAACTATTTGATTTTCACAGTAATGATAAAGATGAAGATCTAAATAAGTGGATCACAGAAGTTCTTAAAATCATAACTGCGAATGGATGGAATATGATGACTATTATGAAATAAATACCAATTGTCATGAAAGACACCGTCAACGAGTGATTCATCAATCTTGACAAAGACATCCTTGAAAACATGAAAATCTTTATTAGGATTTTTAAGAAAGTCAGAGATACTGAAATTGTGCTCACTTACAGAATATTTACTACAAATATAAATGTAGTATTAGAAAAATGATCATTAAAATAGATAAAACTGATAGGATGGACAAATGAATGTTGAAAATAGAAAAAATCTTAGAAATCCTTCTAGTCTAACAAACAGAAAGGAATTGACTCCAAGATCACTTCCAGTTCAACATACAGGAGGAATGAATTTGTTTTAATTGTAATCAAAAAGATCATCTTGCCAAAACTGTCAAAACAAACTGAACAATAACCAGCAAAATTATCATCCCACAATCACATCATCTCCCTGACAGAATAATCGATCACCTCAATATCCAAATCTGAATGGATCTTTTGTTTGTACTTATCTACCTAGAACAAATTTTACAACATACATGTATATACCAACCAGATCATATGTATCATAACAAGTCTCTTATTATAATGAAAATATAAATGAAAGGAATATTAGAAATATTAGACAGGAAAACAGACAACCCGAACAAAATAAAAGAACACAACAAACTTATCTAGCTGAATAACAATTAGCTAACAGCTCAGAAGAAGAGTCAGAAGAGATTGAAATGGATGGATCTGAAGTCGAAATAATGATAGCCATCACATCAAAGAAGAAAAAGATTATTGCCATGATTATAGAAGTCAAAGTTGACAGAAAACTCATAAAACTTATAATCAATTTAGGATCTGTCAAAAGTATTGTAACAACAAAACTATTAGAAAAATTAAATTATTAGATTCAACATTCATTTATCACAGAAATCATTATGATTAACAGTACGTGAACAACATTATTGGGAGAAATAGATGACTTCCTATTCAAAATAGAAGGCATCTCAATATCATTTAAAGTACTCATCATCGATACCCACAATTAAGGATGCTTGCCTAAATTCTTTCAGAAAAATATCGTCATAATTTCGACGGGTTACACACTAATTGTTAATTAGAATTTCGACATAATTTCGATTATGACAGATTTCAAAATTCGTCAGAATTTCGACAGGTTATTTACTAATAGTTTATTATAATTTTGACAGAATTTAGACAGTCACTAAGAGATTTCGGCAAGCAACCTTACCCACAATACCAAGCTCTGATAGGTAATGACTGGATAAAGAAAGCACATGCCCAATTAGATTATTATTAATATTTCATGATAATATTATATAAGGAAAATGAAATCAGCACTGTAATTAGCTTTGAAAAGAAAAAAGAAAGTGAACATGATCCATATAAATCAATCATCAAATATGAAAATTTTGCTATTACTGAAAGTAATCATCAATAGAGTAACAAAAAAGAGAATACTCTGAAAAGAAAGAACTAATAGATTTGTCCAAAACTAAAATGCTTTGAATGTGAAAAGAAATTATTATTCATGAGCACTATAATAGAACTTGATGAAGAATGGGAAAAAGAAATAATTTATTATTGCAATCAATACAATAAAAATTGTTTTAGATATGTCAAACAGCCCTCTGAAGCTGGATTATGAGACAGAACTAATTGCTTAGTATGTGAAAAATTAATGCCAGACAAATACTACTGGAATGACATCTCTGATGTAGGAGGAGTTTGTGACACTGATTGTAAATATGCTTATTTAATGAAATGATGAGTTCAGAGAGGAACACTTTTCCAAGCTGCTTTTTGGTGTGCTTATAATCAATTTAATGGAGAACCAAAAGATAATAAAAAACTAAGGCAATTAGCCTTAAGATTTATTAGAGGAGAAATGAAAAAAGAAATTAAACAAATGAAGACTTTCATCTTGTCGATGAGATAGCTGATTATATATAATTAGACAACGAAGAAATATTCCACAAGAATTACCAATAACTAGCTCCAGCATGAGAAAAACAAGAAAATAACTTCAAATAATGAATATTTCATTATATATCACTTGCTTGATGCCCTGTCAAGATTAGTTTTGTAATGAATATTGATTAAAAATGATTTCTATACCAAATGAAGAATGGACTGACCAATTCAACTGGTTTGATAAAATTAAAGAGCAAATATATGGTACAATCCTCAACTATCTGTTTTCTGCTAACTTTATGAGATACAAACCAATAAAACTTATCAAATATAAAAATAAAAAGAGAAAAATAAAAGTAGAACAACAAATTAAATGCTACTAATACAAATTAACTGCAACAATATCCACCAAAGCTCATGAAACTAATACTGAATTTGACCTATATTATCTGGAAGAAAAGTTATTAATGATTTTATTCAGAGAAATGATAGTAATTGATCTGGTAATTGCTATAGAAATTCCTAAAGGAATAATGATATAATTAGTATTTTATTTCTCACTTGCAAAAAAAGAAATCATCATCAAAGGAGGAGTAATAGATATCAGATATATAGAAAATCTACAAATAATATTAAAAAATAGCTTATAATTAGCATATAAAATTTTGCCAAAAAAATGAATCAGACAGATAATTTATTTATCTCTTGTATTTACAAAGATAATATTAAAAGTGAAAACTTGAGAAGAGTTAAAAGAAAGCCAATGAGAACAAAAAGGTTTTGAATCTACCAGATAAGTATCACAAAAAGCCAATTTGACTATGATCAATAAAAAAAATGAAGATCGACCAACTGGAACATCCATTTTGCTAGAAAAAATGATCTTGATCTTTCCAAACAGAATGGTTACATGGAAAAACTAAAATGAAGAAGTCATTAATTCAAAAACTCTACTATTTGAACCCAACTCTAAATTGTTTAGTTAATATAATATAATTTGCAATCACCAATATATTATATCTGGAAAATTATATAAACTATAGCTCACATTGATAAACTAAAGCAATCAAATAATGATCCTAGAAAAAGGAATCATACTTAAATCTCTGAAAGATGAAATACAGAGGTCTCCCAGAATATTGTGGACCCTTTTTAAAATACAATAATGCAAAAACTAATAAAAAAGCAAGATTTATGATCCTAAGCTAATAGAATTATTGAAACTTATTGTACATTATATCAAAATTGCAAGTAATTTTAATAACTAGTTCAAAATATATATATATAAATAAA